ATTAAAAAAAAAAAAAAAAAAAAAAAAAAAAAATTGGGAGATCGTATTTGTAACAATTTTATTATAATGGGAAATAAGAATACTAAAAAATACGAATTATGTGAAATTCAATACGAAAAAGGTTTAATATTTTATAATAAAAAAAAAATATATATATATATATATATATTTATATTAATGATTATTGAGTTCAATTTAATTTTTATCTTAATTTAAAAACAAAAATTATCATTATAAATTATTTTATTTATATGAAATTCTAAAATTTTTTTTTCTTTAGAATTTGAGTTAAAATATCCATGGAATGAAATTATTAAATGGGGTAGTAATGATTTAAATGTAGATGTAAGTCTTACAATAATTAAAAAAATAATTGAAGAAATAAAAGATATAACATTAGATGAAGAAAGTTATTTTAATATAACAGAAGGAAAAAGTTTAGATGAATTTAAATTTGAAAATTCTTTCGTTGAATGGGCAACAGCATTGTTAAAAGAAATTACTAACTTAAAAAAAATAAGATATAATATAGTTCCAAAACTAGTTAATGAAAATGAATTTTGGTTAAGATATTTTGCTACTATAAAAATAATAATTATTAAAAACATATTTGATACTATAGAAAATTAAAATATACAAAAAAATCTTCTTTTCTTCATTACACAAATAACAATATTCTAAATATTAAAAGTTTTACATTTTTTATTAATATAGAAAAAAAAATTATATATATATATATATATTTACATATATTTTTTTTAAAACAAAAAAAAAAGAAAAAAAAAAAAAAAGTTTATAAATTAACAAAAAATATATATTTAAAATAAAAGTAAAAAAGTTAATATTTAGATGCAGTATTTTTTAATACATTTATCAAAATTAAACACCATTACCCCCAAAATATAGTTAAGCAGATAAATTAAAATATCTTAATAAATATATGAAAACATTATACTGCAATATAAATTTATATATAAAAATATTTGAATAGGTATTCCAAGTGAAAATTATTCAGAAAAAAATGTAAATAAAAATATAAATTTAAAAAAGAAAAAAAAGCTAAATAAATAACTATTTTAAAAAAAAAAAAAAAAGATGAATAAATATTTTATTAAAAATAAGAAAAATTAAAAATTAAATACGTAAATTTTAATACATCTCGTCATAAATATAAAAAAAAAAAAGAAAAAAAATTATGGGCAAATAATTGTCTAATCAAAAAAATTGTATGAAATAAAAAAAAATTACAGAAATAACTAAATTACTATATCATTAACAATATTTCGTAGTAATGTAAAAATAAGTTTGTATTTTTTAAATCAGAATTTTTTTTAAAATATTCACATTTTTTTATTTTATTTTATTTACTTTTTTTTACAATTTCCTTTAAAAGTCAAATATACTGAATTCATATAAATAATTATTAAATATTTTAATAATTTACAAAAAAAAATTATTTAGAGAAAATTTTAATTAATAAAGAAATTTCAAATTATTTTATATTTTTCTTTATTATTTTTTGCATTTACAGACATTTTTTTTAAATTTTTCCATAAAAATTAATTTTAGTGAAATATATATTTATTATTTACTTTCTTAAAACTTATAATTCTAACATATGAATAGATTTCAGTAGTTGTGTTAAATTAGATTCAGCTTTCTCAAGGAGTTCTTTTTTTGAAGATAATTCATCAATAGCTTTATTTACATTTTCTCGTTCATCATCATCATCATCTGCATTTTCTGTTTGTTCTCTTCTTCGATGCCTTCTGAGTTTTTTAGGTTTTCTGTTTGTACTTTCTAGTTCATCACTTTCATCTTCATCAGCCATTCTTTTTCTTTTTGCACTTTTTATATTTGCGTTTTCATCCCCCGCTCTTCTACCTATATTTCTACTTCTTTTATTTTCCTCTTCATCTGTTTCTCTAGCAGTACTTTTTTTTATTCTATTTCTAGGAGGGCGATCTTCATCTTCATCTTGCTTAGAACGACTATTATTTGATTCTTTCATATTTACCTTTTCTACACTTTTCATGTTTCTCCTTCCGTTTTCTTCATCACTATTTCTTAATTGTAAATCATTTTCTTCTTCTTCTTCTTCTCCTTCCTCTTCTTCATCATCATCTTCATCTTCTTCTTTATTTCTGAGTCTTTGTCGTTTTCTTTCTCTATTCTTTCTTTTTTTCCTTCTTCGAGATTCACGTTTTTTTTTTTTTTTTCTTGCCTTTTTTGATTTACCTTTTCTTTTTCTTTTTTTCTTTTTACTTTTTCTACGAGATTTTGATTTCTTTTTTTTAGAAGAATTTCTCTTACTTACTTTATTACCTCTACGTCTTCTTGATAAAGATAATAATATACGGCTTTTAATTAATTGCTTTTTTTTTGAAGTCTCTTTATCAATTATACAGCTTTTTAATGAATTATTTTCAGTTAATATTATTTGTAATCCAAAATTCTCATTTTTCTTTATGAGGATATTATGAGTTATAATCCTAAGAAATAGCATAAAATTGTATACTTTATTTTTTTCTATATATACTTTTTTTTTTAAAATCTCAAAAATTTGATTATCCTTTATAAAATTTATTGCACCATTTCTATAATTCATTAAATATAAGTTAAATCTATTTCTACTTTCATTTGTTTTTTTAACTACTTTAATAATAGGGATGTTATCATTTTTTTTATCCAAATAATATATTTGATTTAAATAATTTTTAAAATTATATATGTCTTTTGTTGTCTTTTTATTAACATATAAAATTATAATTAAATTAATTAAAAATACAACAAGGTGCTTTCTCCTCAATAAAACTTTTATAAATTTAAAATTATTTGCATTTATTTTTAACATTTTTTTTTAACTAATTAAAATTTTTTTTCATATTTATAAAAATGTTCACTAATTTTTTTTTCTTTTTTTTTCATTTTACAAATTTTTAAAACAAATTTTGAAATATTTAAAAAAATTATATTTCCACAAAAAAAAAAAAAGTAATTTTTAAAATAAATCTAAAATTACTTTAAAAAATAACTATAAAAAAATAACAATGCATTGAAAATGAAATATATATTGTAATTCAAATTTTTTTTTTTTTTTTTTTTTTTTTTTTAGATTTATTCAAAAATTTTCATTCGGTGTTGTAACAACTCACATTAGGAAATATTTATTTTAATTTTTTTTTTTCATATTTCAATAGTTAATATATAAAAAAAAAAGTGAATAATTTTAAATATTTAAAAAAAAAAAAAAAAATCTTTAAATATTAAGTTCAAAAATGATAATAAAGAAAAAGAATAAATAAAATGATTTTTTTTTAATCGAAAAATTATATATATATATTAAAGAAATATAAATATTTAAAAAACCATCAATTATATATATATATATATATATATGTAAATTGAATATTTTAAAGTATATAAATTATAAGAAAATTATTTATTAATACAAAAAAAAAAAAAATTATGAAAAGAAACAAATTTAAGAAATATAAATAAGGAATAGAAAAAATTTGTTTTTTAGAATGCAACAAAACTTTTAGACAAAATACTTTTTATCCTATAATAGAGAATGCATCAAGTATTTTTATTAAATTAAAAAATAAAAGTGAATAAAAATGAAAAAGTATTTTTTAAAATATTATACTTTTAATATTTTTTATGAGAAGGAAAAGATAATGAACAAATAAAAAATTTCTTGCTTTTATTTTTCAATGAACTATAAAAATTCTTAAGAATTTTAAAGAAAATATATTTTTATACACTAAATCATATTTGTGCCTTTTATTTAATAAAAATAATCTAAACTATTAAAAAAAGAATATTATAAAGGAAAAAGTATAATTTAATAATAAAAATAAAAGTATTTTTTATAATATCACAATTCTTATTATATAATTTCAAAATTTTAAAACTACAATAATATTATCTAAATTTTTTCTAAATTTCTAAATAATATTAACAAATAAGAATAAAAAATAAAATATATATTATTTGTGATAAAGATAATAATATTTGATTTCTTATTGGTGTTTACAATAATAATAGTATTATATTTTTTTGTAGATAAAATAAAATGTTGCATTTAAGTAATTCCTTTGTCTAAAGTCACTTTATTATAACTATTCCTATTATTACACTAAATTTATATATATATACTATTAAAAATAACAATTTTTTATATTTTATTTCTACATTTTCATAATATTCATAATTTATATTTTTTTATATTATTCCTATATCCTTTAAAACTATTGATATATAGTTTAATTTTTTTATTTAAAAAGTATTAATAAGTATCATTAATTTATTAAACATTCTTTAATAATAGGAATATTATTCTCTATATATGTTGCGACAAAACTTGCAAATAATTTTAATAAGGATAATGTAAAACAAAAAAAAAAAAAAAAAATAATAATGATTAAATAATATCAGTGCATTACAATTAAAGTTTGTATTATTTTATTTTCTATTTATATTTTATATTAATAAATTATTTACATATATTTGTTTTTTTTTTTTAAACAATACTTAAGATAAATTATGAAAACATAAAAAAAAATGTATTGTATTCACAAATTTTATTAAAATTATTTTTGTAAAGTTGATAAGCTACTTATTGCAACTGCGTTATGGTGCTTCTAATTTTTTTAATGGACAGAAATACTAAAGTAAAATCTAAATTCTCCATTAACCAAATAAATGAAAAAAAAAAATAAAAAAACAATTTATAACTCTATATCTTAGGTATGATTTGGGATTTTTTTTTTTTTTTCAAGTGAATATATTACATATAATGAAATCAATGTCGTTTCAAATAAGCAAATATATGAAATGATAATAAATAGAATTAATAAAAAAATAAAATAGAAGAAAATAATATAAATTAAAAAATATTAAATAAATGAAGACAAGTAATCAATTTAATTATGAAATTCCAAGTAACATAATTTTTATTTATGGAATTTTAGGAAATGAATGCAAATAATATTATTAGTATACTTATAGTTTTTATTTACTATATTAACAGTCAACAAATTTTGAGGAAGAGAAAATTCCATAATAACTCTTACTTATTGAATACAGAAGATAAAAAATTAAAAAATATAAATAATTTAAAGAATATTGATTCGCCTAATCAAATAGAATTTGAGTATAATGCTACAAATAGCAAAAATGATAATATTTTTTCATTAGAAAAAGAAAATAAAGGCTCATTTATTCTTTTAAGTTCCAAATTAAAAGAAAAAGAATCTGACGATGACGATGACGATGGCGATGAGGATGATGAAGACGATGATGACGATGATGATGGTGAAAAGGAGAAAGAAAAGGAAAATGAGGAGAATGAGAAGGGGAATGGTAAGGGGGATGAGAAAGAATCCCGTTCTAACAACAACAGTAACTCAGTTCCATACACAGCTCTACCACCACCTCCTCCACCAGTTCCTCCACCTCCACATCCGATTCCTCCCATGACACCTTCAAGTATTGTTGGAAACGTAGTATCAAATGTCGTTACAACAGGTTTAAAATTGATTGGTATTCATTAAAACGTTTTTGAAATTTATCATTTTAAAAAAAAAAATTTTTAAATATTTTTAAGATTTTTAAAAAACTTTTATTAAAATCCTTAGTAAAAGTGTTATATATAAAAAAAATAATTGAAAAAAATTCATTTGAATACTTTTTTTGTTTTTTTTTAAGAATATTTTTCTTTTTCTTAATATAGACCAAATTTTTTTTAAAGGATAGACATAAACGTAAAATTTTTTCTATAAAATGTTTTATAAGTATATTTACATTTAAAAGTATGCATAAAATTCAGGTATTAAATCAGTTAAAAAGAATGGAAAATAGAATTTATGTAACGTATGTTTTTATGATAAGGAAATTAATTAATAGGTATCTATATAATATTATAATTTAAGAAAAATAATATTATTCTCATAACATTTTGGAGTGGAAAAAAATATAGAGTGTTATTAAAGATTTAGTTAAATATTCAACTATTATATTAATTTATATATTATGTAGATCACATTCAATTTTATAAGAAGAATGATTGGGGAACTTCATTATGTACAAAATAATTATTAATTTTATTCCACATACTCAAGCAATTTATTAAATACAAAATATGTTATAATAATCTTCTAAAAAATTCTTACATTTTTCATTAACACTTTTAAATACATAAGAATCTAAAAATATATTTTTAAAAAATAAGGTTAAAAGGCACTTACTATTATATTAATTTCACCATTGAGATATATAAAAAGAAAAGGTTAAAATGTTAAATATGTAAAACAATATTATAAAAAAAAAAAAAAAAAAATACAAATTACAATTGGATACATTATATATTCTTTTAGATATCTATCTTTAACACATAATAGTAAAATTATTATTATAAATAATTTATTTGCTTCGCTGTCTAAGTATCGTTAAAAACTCCTAATATAGGCTTAAATTTATTTAAAACATATTAAATAAAAAGATAATTTTTTTTAAAATGTGCAACATATAACATATAACATATAAATGTAAATATATATATATATATATATATATATATATATATATATATATTTTGTTAAGCTAAGTTATAATTTTACAACTCTATAAAAACAAATGAATATTTTGGAATCATATTACTTTCATTTTTTTTTTTTTTTTTTAAATAAATGCACACACAAATTATGTTAGAAAAAAAAAAAAATTTTTTTACTTATAAATAAAATGTGTGTGCAAAAATTTTTTAGTTTGTGGTGAATTAATGCATAAAAAAGTGCATGAAAAATTAAGTTTTTTTAGAATATGAAATAGTAAGGTATTTCTTTTTATTAACATGTTACTAACTCATTATTAATATACACACAAAACATTGATATTTGAATTGGGTACATGGAAATTATTACTTCATATATTTTAATACTTAAATATTTCTTATATTTTATGTATTTATAATTTGTTATTTTAAAATAATGAGAACATTCTAATAGACTCCATTAAATTTTTTTTTTTTTTTGATATAAAAATAAAAAAATTTTAGATTAAATATTTTATTATAAAAAAATATAAGAAAAACAAAAAATATATTATTCGCCACAAATTTTTTTAAATAATGTGAATAAAAAAATATATTATATACATGTATACATATGCATATATTTTACATATTATAAATATTTATATAGTAAATATATTTTATAAATTTTTGTAAAAATTATTGTTGCACCAAAGTACATACATGGTAACTTTTAATTTAAAAAAAAAAAATATATAATTGAAATATTTATATACATTGAAAAAAAAGATTTCTATTATATTGACTTCTAAAATATACTCTTATTTTTCATTAAATTTTGTGTGAAAAAAGTTATAATTTTTCTTAGTTGTGTAAAAGGAAAAATTACACAAAATAAATGTGTTCTTTTTTTTTTTTTTCATGATGGTATTTTAAATAGCGTTATTAATTTTTTTTCTTCTTTTTTTGTGATAATTTCTATTTTTTAAAGAAAAACACTAATCAAAAAAAAAATAATTAAAAAGAAAGTGTCCGTTTTAATATATGTATTACACCTTTTTAAGAAGAAAGGAGGAAAAAATAGATATAAAAGTACTAAAGAAAAATATGAAAGAAAAAAAAAGTGTTTCTTATAATACTAAGAAAGTTATAAAAATATAACTCAAAGTTATTGCATAAATAATATTTTTTTGCGGTTTATTTCTTTTGTTTTTTTTCTTATTCTTTTATATTTTTTGTAATTTTTTTTTTTTTTTTTTTTTTTTTTTATATATATATGTTTGATTATATTTTAAGTTTTAATTCATTGTTTTAATTAGAAATTTTCAAGAATTATTATTTTTTTTTATTTTTCACTAAATAATTAATTATAGCATTATAGAATAATGTAAATAATGCTTATTTGAAAAATAAAAAAAAGCCATTGGAAATTATATCTTATAAATATATATATATATATATATATATATATATATATACATATATATCTATATATACACATATATATTATTGGAAAATTAGAAAGAATAAAAAAAGAAATTCTTATACAAATAAAAATTTTAATAATTTTAAGAAAAACAAGATTTAATTTAAGTACATATAATCATAATTTACAATAAAAATGTACACATACGGTGTAGAAGGGGATGACGGATATTTACAACAAGCACAATATCCATCACCATACGAAAATCAATATCAACAAGATGAAGAATCTCCAAGTCCTAGAGGAGAAAGTCATACTCCATTTATAGGATATTTTAGTTCTCATTTATTGCGAACAGGATTTTTTTTACAATGTGTATCTTTAATATTAATGTTTATATTTTACTGGGCATTTGGTGGAACTGGTATTTTTGTATTTGATTTATATGCAGGACCTGAATGTGTTAAAGTATCTAGTGCATTTCATTTGACTATATCAATTCTAATGGCAATATATTTATTAGGTACATTATATATAGCAATGTTTCAAGTTTTCGTAGCAGATAATAGTAAATGGTGTAGAGGATTTAGAGCAGGATCAAAACTTTTATCTGCAGCTGTAACATTAGATCTTTTGTCATCTATATTAAGATTAGTTCAATATTTGTATGCATATTTCTATATGAATATGAGATGGTGGGCAAGATATCAACAAACAAAATCAGATTGGACTTTATTACATTTTGGAAGTATAGTACATAGTTTTGCTTTATTTATTTATGGTGCTGCTTTTTTTTATATGGAAGCTTATCATGATGAGGGTACTTATGAAGAACTTGCTTGGTCAAATTTAACTTTATTTAAATTAGCAGGATTGGCAGGTATATTTTAAATATATTAAAAATTAATACATAATAATTTATAGAAATTTTGAGATAATTTATATTTATAACAATTTATAATGATTCCTAATAATTTGTAATTATATTGAATATTATAAAATTATAATAATATTCTGGAGCAATATTATATTATTACAATGAATATAATGTAAATATTTGTTATGATAATGAACTAAAAATATTTTATATGAATTAGAAATATGCATAGGTTATAGTTAAATAAAAGTATAATTATTCTGTTGTAATATTCTTAATAATATATGATTATTAATTATATCTTTATATATATATTATTTTAATAGTTGAATGAAAAATATTTTATTAATGGAATGATGAATAATTATTAATATATTAATATAAATAATAATAGCAGTGAGAGTAACAACAAGTTTTATTATTAATATTGCTATAAATTTATTATTAAAATTTTTATTTTTGTTAAATATCAATAATAGAAAAAAAAAAAAAAAAAATTCTACATTTATTTTACACTATTGTATAAGTATTTATAAAAAAGTTCTATATGAAATAATAGTGTATTATTTAGAGTATTCATGCGAAGATAGTAAATATTAAAAATATTTTTTTTATATAGATTTATTATTAAAAATATTGTTTTTTTTCTTTTTCTTTATATTTTGTTTTACGTATTCATATTAGGAAATTATGAGTGAAATTAATTTTTTATATTTTGTCATAATTTTTATAATTTAAAATTTTTTTTTTTTTTTTAGAACTTTTAATGGTATTTTCCGGTTTTGGAGCTTTTTTCTCAATACTATTATTAGGTGCAATAATATGTGCAACAATTTGGGCATTTTCTTTTGAGCCTCTATTAGAAAAATGGTCTCCAGAATTGCACAGCAGAGATATAAATGCAGACGTATTACCAGAAATAAAAAATGATGAAGAGCAATGTGGATATAACGAGGAAAACGCTTATGCACCTTATAATGCAAATCCCGAAAATATGGGATATGGAGAAGAAATGATTCAACAAAATATGAATGATAATTATGTTGAAGGTAATGCATATGATCAAAATATATACGGTCAAAATGATGGAATACCAACAACCTATGATTATTCACAAATAGAAGGACAAATACAACAAAATGCTGAAATGGGGGTGTCTGAAAATAATTATGCAAAAAATGGACAATATTGAAAAACTTATTGAATAAAAGAATATTTAAAAAAAAAAAAAAAATGATAAAATAAAAGCATAAATACAATAAATAAAAGAAAATAAATGTAGTAAATATTAAAATTTTAATAAAATATATTTAATAAAAAGAATTATAATAAAGTAAATAAAATAAATTTAATAGAATAAATTTTAATAAAAATAAATGATTACAATTGTTTTTCAATTATATGAGTGTTAACTACCTAATTTTATTTATTTATTTTTTTTTTTTTTTTTATTTTTTTATTTTTCTATTCATTTATTATTATTATTTTTATAATTATTATTATGATACTAAATACAATTAAATTTTATTGAATAAATATTATAAAAAAAAAAAAAAAACATATTTTTCTTGCATTCATACTTATAATAAAGGCTTTTATTCTTTATTATTCTTATATATATCTATATTTTTATTATATTTTGTTATTATCATAATGTTATTATTTATATATATATATATATATTTAGTAAATGTTGTTTATTTATAAAAGAAATAGTATACCTATATGTATATTTCTGCATGTATATAAATATATATACATATGAAATAACAATATAGTTTTATTTTGTTTTCATAATAATAAATATTCTTCTGCATTTAAATGCTGTGGCAATTTTATTTGTTTAAATTTTTTCAGATATTGTCATTATCACATTGAATATTTTAATAATAAAAATGTATATTGTCTTTATAAAGAATACGTGGGAATACATTAAAAAGCATTTATACTTATTAATTTTTTTTATAAAAATATAAAAAGAATTAAGGAGAATAAAACAAAATTCAAGGAATAATAGTACCAAAGATGAAAAAATAAAAAATATCACAGAAAAGTAAATTTAAGCATAATAATATTCATACTATTAATCCCAACTATATAAAAAATTTACAAACAATTAAATTGAAAAAAAAAAATTTGTTATTAAAAAAAAATAAAGTTCTAAATTAAAAGGGTGTATAAATAGGTATATATTTATATATAGATATACTTTATCTTAAATTTTGAAAGCAATAACTTTTTCATATTTCTATATTTTTTTAATTTATATCAGTTTTCATATGATACAATAACTAAATAATGTATTTAGTAAAAGTACTTAATATTTAATAAATGCATTTATAATAAAAATATATAGTTATAAGATTGTAAAAAAATATTTCTTTTCTCTTTTATTTTTGACTTTTCGTTTTGTGTTTCCTTTTTCTCATTAATAAATAACAAAATAAGAACTGAAATGTAAAATATTTCTAAACAATTTTTTTTTTCTATATAATTATAAAAGAAAATATTTTCATATTTTATTAGACGAAAATTAAAAAAAAAAAAAAAAAGGAATTTAAATTAAAAAGAAATATTAGACCATAACTGCGTATTTTTTTCCTTTTTTTAAAAATATTTTATATTTTAGTATAAAGACGAATAAGTGATTTAAAAAATAAAATTAATTTTTTTGTTAAGCTATGATTTTTTTAATATTAGAATTTTTGTTTTTGTGTTGATGTAAAACATAACCCTAAACAATTTATTATAGGAAAAAAAAAAATAAAATGAAAAATTCTGAGAAGAAAAATAAAGAATGTTCTATTATGTATTTGTTAATTATTTAATTATAATTCATCTTCTATTTTAAAACAAACTAATTTATATATATTTTTTTTTAGTTCTTTTTGTTACATTTTTTTTTTTTTTTACAGAAGAAAAAAAAATTTAGTTGTATATTTTTATAAAAAAAACAGAAACATATGTAAGATTCAAAACCATATTTTAACTTTAATAAAATATTAAAATTTAAATTAAAAATTCACGTTTTTTATTTTTTTTATTTCAAATGAAAAAGTATAGTTACTAATTTATGGTTATTTTTAACTGTTGTTATGGCAAAAATGCTAATATAAAAAAAAAAAAAAAAAAAATTGAAAAAAATCATGAGATGAAAAATTTGGAAAATAATTAATATGATGAAAAATATAAAAGATGAATTAAATAACAGTAAACTTAATTTAGAAAATAAATCAACAAAATTAACTCATATGATTGGCAGATTAGGAGAATCAAAAGGAAATTTTTTTCTTTTAAGAAAAAAAATTAATGAATATTTTAAAAAAAAATACCAATACAAAAATATTAGCAGTAATGAATTTACCGTAAATCAATATAAAAAAAAAAAAAAATGTATAAAACCTATAAATTTATTGAATTTAAAGTATATATGTGAAAATAAGGATAGTGTAAAATTGAATTGTTTAAATAATGAAAAGAAAAATACCCTTTCTTATAAAAACAAATATTTGAAAAAATATTCAAATATATCTAGTAGTAATAGTACAAGCAAAACATGTATAATACCAATAGACGAAAATTTAGAAAAAGAAGAATATTGCAGAACCAAAAACTTACATTATATATATAAAAATAATGTAGAAAATGTACATAATAAGAAATATGAAAGAAAAAATAAATATAAAAATAATGAAAAAAATATAATTCAGAAAAAAAGAAAAAAAAAAGAAATAAGAAATAAATTAACAGAATATAATAAAAGAAATTTCATTTATGAAAATTCAAGATGGAAGTCAAGGTTGAATTATATAAAATGTATGATGTCTTACTCTCTAAAGTTGGGTGTTATATGGAGATTTCCTTATGCATGTTATATTAATGAAGGAGGGTGTTTTTTATTTGCATATTTCGTATGTATATTATTAATAGGATTTCCCATGTTTTTATTAGAAATAACTATTGGCCAAAAATATCAAAAATCCTTTATATATTGTTTTAAAGAATTATGTGAAAAATTAATAGGCATACCTATTTCATCTATATTAATTATAATTTTATGTATTATATATTTTTATGCAATATCATCATGGGTATTATTATATTTTATAAAATCTTTTAATTTTTTTTTGCCTTGGAGCAATGGAGGCTTAAACAAATCAGACTCTGCAAAACGTTTTTTGTTAATAGAAATTTTAAATAAGTCAGAAACATTATCTTTTAATGAATTAGCGTTTAATAAAATAAATACTTCATTATTTGTATGTGTAGCAATAATTTTTATTATACTACTTCTTTTTTTAACAATGAAAAAAAAAAAAAAAAAAAAATTCTTTGATTTAATGAAATACAAAGACTTCTTCTTATGCATCCTTTTATTTTTATTATTTATTAGATCAATATCATTAGAGGGATCTTTAGATGGTATACATTATTATTTAAAAATAAACTTTCAGAAATTAAAAAATGGATCATTGTGGGTTTCTGCAGGCTCTCAAATATTTTACTCTTTAGGTATTTCATGGGGAGAACTAATTAATTATGGGAGTAAAAATAAAAAAAAAAATAATCTGGTCAAAGATTGTTTAATTATGGTTTCGTTAAATACAATAACATCGTTTTTTATCGGTTTTACTGTATTTTCAATAATTGGTTTTATGTCCAGTATATCTAAGATGCCAATAAATGAAGTAGGAAACATAAGTCTAGGGTTACCCTTCGTTGCATATTCTTTAGGAATTAAAGAAATTTCAAATTTTTCATTTTTTTCTTTTTTTTTTTTTGGTGTATTATTAATTACTTGTATAGAATCTTTATTGTCAATGATTGATATGGTTGTCAAAACTACTTTTAGCTTGTTAAATATCAGGAGAAAAAATATGGGGAAAAAAAAAAAAAAAAAAATTATTATCATGATATGTATTTTTATATTTTTAACTAATATTTTTTTAACATATCCATCTGGTTCTTATTTGGTTGATATAATGGATTTTATATCAGGAATTGCAACCATTTACATCCTTGCCTTATGTGAAATTTTTGCTCTATTAAAGTATTATAAAATCGTAAATTTTGTAAATGATATTTATTATATGACAAAAATTAGATTACATTTTTTTTTTATATTTTTGTATTTATATATAATACCATTTTTATTAACTTTATTATTTTGTATAAGTATTTGCTTTCTTATTATTCCTCATCAACATATGACGACTAACCAAAAAGAAACAGAGAAAAATATAGATAAAAGAAAAAGTTGTTCTGATAATTCTTCATGTAATATGCATGGAATATGCATAGATAATGTATGTGTGTGTAATGCTGGATGGAAAAATTATGATTGTTCAGAACCATATTATAAAATACATTATCAAAAAGATAAAAATAATAAAGATATAAATAATGACATTATAAATGAAACTATATTGAGATATGAAGAACCTAATAAAAGCAATAACAACAATGATAGTAAAGAAAATTATAGTATAAAAGATAGTAAAAATTGTGATATAGTTAATAATAAGGATAGTAATTGCAATAATAATATTGAGGATGAGGAATTTATTAAAAAAGAAAATGTAGAATTTATTGATGACATTTTGTCAAAGCACAATGTAAAGCTAATTTATCAAACAAAATTTGATTTTAATTTTTTAGATGACACTGATGTTGATTATTCTATAATTCCTTTGAACGAATTTGATGAAATTTTAAAAAAATATTATATAGAACATATGGAAAATGGTAAAATTGAAATGAAAGATAAATTAAATGTAGTAGAAGAAAAGAATAAATGGTTTAATAAAAAAATTGATTTTAATAACATTCATTACAAAAGTTTTACATATGATAATTTTGTAATAACTCCACTTTTATCTTGCCCTGAATTTTGTAATGAAAACATAGGAAGAGGAATATGCATAAATGAGTTATTTTTAGAAAAAAATTGGATAAATAATAGTACTATTTTAAATTTTTTTACTGAAAATAATACAAGTGATGATGATATTTTAAATTTTTACACTCAAAATATTTATAATTATATAGGTAAGTGTGTATGTAATGTTGAATTTACAGGAAAATCTTGTTCACAAAATAGATATATAAAAGGGTATCCTTCTTTTTTTCTTTTGATTGGATGGATATTTGTTATTATTACATTATTACCTATTCCATTAGTTTTCTTTTTTTCAAGAATTAGGAATATTTTTGTGAAGTTTTTAAATAGAAATAATAGAAATATTTATAAAAATATAAATAGAAGGTATAAAAAGAAAAAATATAATATAATATCTGATATTCCAATTACTCTATCAAAATCAAAAAAAAGGCAAAAACATTGTAATTTTAATACTTATGATGAATCAAATAGCAATTTTCAAAATTTTTCGAAATATAAAAAAAATGATATTTTAGATAATAATATATATAACTCATTAAATAATAAATTTTATTTTATCTTTAAAAGAAAAAAAAAGAGGATATTAAAAAAAAATTTTTTGGGACAGTAAAAAAGTACTTATTTTTTGATAATTCATAAAATAGATGTAGATGAAAAATTAATAAAAATGTATATTTCAAAAAATATTTTTTCAATAAAAAGAAAAAAATTTACCATAAAATTATAGAAAATATTGTTGATATAAATGAAACAATTATTAAATGAACAGAAATAAATAAAAATTTATACATTTAACAATGAAAAAATGAACAATAATATTTTTAATTAGCAAGAAAAAAAAAAAAAAAAAAAAAAATAAAAGTGAAAAAAGTTTCTGAGAAAATATAGAAGAAAATATATTAATATAGTAATATATGTGAAATTAAAATTTGCATTTTAATTAAGATTCTTTTTTCTTATTTGTATATAAATTAGCTAAAATTTGTTTTCAATTAATTACACATACTTTCTTATTTTTTTCAATATTAGAAGTACCATTTGGAAAATACTAAAATTTTAATGCTTATATTTATATGTATGCCCTTTTCATATATATATTTAAAAAGTTTAAATAAAATTTTAGGCACTTTTTGTTATTTTTTTTTTTTTACTTTGTTTTATTTTTTTTAAATGTATTATTTTTAATTTTTGTAACGAAATATACACTTGTTTTGGTAAAAACAATAAAAATAAAGCAATTGCAAAATGAAAAATTATTTGTCAACATATTTTTATAATATACGTTCTTTTCATAAAATTATGTTTATATTAAATTTGAAAGAATTCAAAAAAAAAAAAAAAAAAATGTAAAATAAAGATACTAGAAGTATATGTATATAATGAAAATTAATTATAGGATTGTAATTTTTTTAAATGATACATCTTTCCCTTTAAAAATAGTTACATTATTCATTTTAATTTACTTTTTTTTTTTTTTTTTTTTCTCTTAATTCATTTTTGGAATTTTATAATTTTAAAAAGCACTTTTTTTTTAATCCATTTCTATATTATTAATGCATTCGTTTTGTTGAAAACTTAAAATGTTATCGTTCTCTTCATTTAATAAACCTTTTTTCTTTACCATATTTTTGTCCATTTGAATCATTAAATTATATAAGAAATCGCAATCTGTAGAAAACTCTTTATTTTTCACAATAGTATATAAATCTATGTACTTAAGAAGAAATAATTTTGTTAATCTGAATTTAAAGATTGGATTATGTTTGCTCTTTTCGCTTTCCTCAATTTCATTAATCGGATCATTATCAATATACATTTTTTTTTTATAATCTTCTAGTTTATCAATTAGTTTTTCTATTAATATTTTTTTGTTACTATTTTTTTTTTTTCTCTCTGTCATTGTACTATTGTCGTCTAACTCCCAAAATTCTGCTTCTCTTCTTAAATAGATTTTATTTATTTCTAATAAAAAATTATTTACTTTATTTATATCATGAACACTATAGGATTTGTTCGAATTATTATTTAAATCTATATTACTAATTGTATAAATGTTATTACAAGTATTTATTTGATTCGTTTGATTTATATTATTTGAATTATCAATTAATTTTGTGTATCTGTAATTATTTTTTATTAAACTTTTGTTATTTTTATTTAATTCATAATAATTTTTCATTTTTTTATTTAATGATTCAAAAATTTCAATTACATAAATTAAATTTTCTACGGGTGATTTTTGTATATTTTTATTATTATCTCCTTTCATTTCTATTTTTTCTTTTTTTTGTGTTTCTATATTTATATTTTTAAATTCAAAATTTAAATCATAATTTTCGCAATTTGTTTTTCCTATCAACTGTTTTTTCCATGTATACCAACAATATTCTTTAGTTAGTAAATATTTAAAAAAGGGATTTTTAAAATGATCAAAATAATTCATTAAATCTTTATTAAACAAATATATTATTTTTTTTATTTTTTCATTAATTGTGTCACTATTTTTTAAGTCATTTGAATTCACTATAATATTTTGATTCATATGTTTGGTATTATTAACCATTTTATTATTAATTTCTTTATTCTTACTACTATAATTATTTTCTTTCACATTTTTTTGATACAACTTAGAGGTGTTTGTATTCATCGAATAATATTTTTCTTCATTTTTTTTCTTTTCGTTATGTTTATTTGTATCTAAAAAAAAAGTATTTTCATTATTTATTTCTATATTATTTGAACTATTAAAACGAATTTTTTCTTTATTTTTCATATCACTTATTTTTGTTAATGCATCAATACTTCTATCTGTTTTCTGTTTACATAAATTCCCATTTTTCCCATGTATGTTATGTTCATAATTTAAATAATTAATAACCAATAAAATGTTAAAAAAAAAAACTTTTATAAAATTTTCATCACGTATTAAGATATTATATATATGTAGATTTCCAAGAAAATCGAAAGTACTATTGTACATATATTCTTTTATAATATTTAAATTTATTATATTTTCTTTTTTTAAATTTTTCACATACGAATAAAATATTTTAAAGGCATTATATACATCTTCTAATGATACACTATTTTGAACAATAAATATTTCAGGAAATTTTACAAATGTAACAAGATAAATAAAGGATAAATAAACTCTGTAATTTTTATTTGATTCATTTAAGTTTTCAAATAATTTATTACATTTCGCTTTTTTTAAATCCTTAATTTCGTTTTTATCGATAGAATTTTCTCTTTTTCTTTTTTTATTTTTATCTTTATTATTTAATTCTTCATTTTTTTCATCAATTTTTTTATTTTTATCACTTTTTTTAGAATGGGTAAGGATATTCTGATGTTTATCATCTCTCTCATTATTTTTTAAAATATCTTCGTTTTTGATCATTTCACTTTTATATAAATTATCGCTATGAACTATATTATTATCTGTATTTTTTTTTTTTTCTTCATTTTCTTCTTTATTTATTGCAATATTTAATTCCTCTTTTTTACTTAAATTTGAAAAATTATTATTATCATTTTTACTTTTATTTTTTCCATCGTTTGTTAAATCAATACTATATGAAAATCTACCATTCATTTCATTTTCAATTATATTTTTTATTTTTTTATAATTCTTGATATTTTCTTGGATATTCAATTCAAAATCATCATAAATAATGGATTCGTTATTTAAATTACTTTTATATTCTTCAAACGAATCATAAAATAAAAAATTGAAATTATTTTTTAACGACTGTCTATTGCAAAAACCTAGATGATTAATAGGTAAGCATTCAGATAATAGAAGATTAAGAAAAAATATATTTAAAGAATCTTTTTTATTTAACTTAATTTTTTTTTGTAAAGTTTTAATAAAACCAATTAGCCTAGCTCCCACTGATTGTGTTTTTACAGGATCATTAAAAATAATAAAATTTTGAAATTCTTTATATTTTTCTATAAATTTATTTTTATAATTGTGAAGAAAATTAATTATATAATTTACACAGCTCAATGGAATTATATTTGCGAAATCATTTAAAATCTCAATAAAATTTATAATGCTAACATAATATGGAGTTAATATTAAAAAAATTTCACAAAAAACAGTGATAAGTTTTGCTAAAAGTTTACTACTTTTCACTTTATTTATTAAAGAAAAAAAAAAGCTTTTTAATTCTGTCACAAAATTATTTAATATTTTATTAAATATGTCTTCACTTATTTTGATAAAGTTATTAGGTGTGGAATTATTTGTCAATTCAACATTTGAAGATATATTAACTGGTACTATTTCATTTTTATTATTTTCAACGTTCGAATTAATACAATCATTTATATAACTTTTATCATTTAGAGAATTTATACTATTGGTACTAATTGAATGTTTCTCCTTTTTATCCTTTACATTGTAATTCATTAAAAAATCATTGTTTTTATTTTCAATTAATTTGACATAATCAATTATGCAAAAATTGGCATTTATAATTTTTTCATTTTGTATATTATTCATAAGAATTTTTAAATAATCACAAATTAAAAGTCTCGTTTGTTTTCCATTCAAAAATATTATATTATCTTTAACTTTTCTTGTTTTTTTTTTCTTCTTTTTATTGTCTTTTATTAAAGCATTATTTAAATTGCTTTTGTTCAAATAAGAACCTTTAACAAATAAATTATAAAAAAAAAAAAAATAAGAAGGATCTTTAGTTAAATCATTCATATTAAAACTTTTAATATTATCTATAAATATTTTATTTTCTTCATATTTTTCATAATATTCCTTTTCAGATTGTAAAATATTTAAATAATCTTTTTTTATAAGTTTTTTTTCCTTTTTTTTTTTAAATAATAAATTCATTTTTGATTTTTTTTTAAAACTTTTCATTTTAAACTTTTTTAAGTAAAAATTAATATATTTTTTAATGGAGTTCAAATTTTTCCATTCTTTTATGTTATTTTCATTTTTCTTGGAGTTTTTATCATTTATACATTTGGTACATTTTATGTTTCCTTTACTTCTCTCTATATGTTTGTTTTCATTTATACATAACATTTTATTTGAATCTTTTCCACATTTTTTAAAATTCATTTTAAATATTTTATTAAATTGTTTTTTCAATTAAATAATGATATTTTCATTGTATTTATTTATATATTTATTTATCTATTTATTTAATTATATATTTATTTATCTATTTATTTATTTAATTATATATTTATTTATCTATTTATTTATTTATTTATTTATTTATATATTTGCTTATTATTTTTTTTTTTTTTTGCTAATTTGATAAATATTTTTGTTTTAATTTATTTTATCAATTTTTTATTTACATATTTTCATAATATTTTAAATTTTTTCTAAAATTCAATCAGTTAATTTTTTTATTTCATAACATCGACTGTACTGATATTAATTTTTGTAAAAATAAAAAATTAAATTTTTTTTTTTTTTTTTTTGTAAGTTAAAAACGTAAAGTTTTAAAAGAAAAATAAAATATGGTGAATTATTATAATGATGATGATTTTTATGCATGAATTTTAAAATATTTCATCAAAATAAAAAAAAATTAAAAATCTCAAAAGAAAAACTATTGATATTAAAAGGAAATTTTATTTTATATACATAATGTCAAAATAAAAAAATAAAAAGTAATTATGGATATATTTCTATATAAGGAAAATTCATTACGATTTTTTTAATTCAACATATAAACGGGAATTTAGATTATTTTAAGAATTCACTTTGATATGAAAAAATAAACAAAAAGGAATAGCAAAATGTAGAACAATTAAAACATATATTTACCTATTTTATATAATTAAAGCATGTAATTCTTTTTAAAATAAACATTTTCGTTTAAAACTCGCACAATTTTAATATATTATTATTCCTATTACACTCTTTAGTGTTTCCAATACAGAGTTATTCTTTTTTTTAAAACGAGTAACTTATAAATAGATATAATTTATGAGAAAAACTACAATAAAAAAAGAAAAGGTACCTTTTTATTAATAAATGGATTAATAAAATTTAACTGTTCATTTGGAAAATTTTTAATTTTAGACTTTTTTTTTTTTATTTTTGCACCTCCTATATTAATGTTTAGAAATATATTTAAGAAAATTATATTAAATAAGGTTTCTTGATCAATTTTCTTGTATGTTTAAAACTTTTAGTGAAATAATTTGAATATAAAAAATATTATGACTTACATCTCTTTAGAAATAACCTTTGTTCTGGAGTTACAGTAGTACTCTTTTATCCAAGTTTTACTAAAACTACAAAAAAAAAAAAAAAAAGAAAATTATATATATATATATAAATATATGCACACATATATATGTATATATTATGCATACGAAAATTAATAATTTAATTTATTGTATTACTGTAAGGAGTTCCATTATAAAATCCAAAAACAAATTTAGGAACAATTCTTTCGGGATCATAATATTCTGAATAATTTTTGGCTTTATAACCATAATAATTCATAAAATTTTCGTCAAAATCATAATTATACGGAACGATTTTTCTTCCTTTATTATTTTTATATTGTTTTAAGATAATTTTTCTGTAATTAGAAGTCTTAAGTACATGAAAAATAACAGGTGAAAAAATTAAATATAACAATGTTAATCCAGTAACATAAAAAAGATATTTATGCACAATTCGTGATACTTTTTTCTTCTCTCTTTGAACTTCTAGTTCAATAATTTTTTTATTTTTTTCTCTTATATATTCCATAAGTGTTTTGGGCTTTGGTTTTTCTTCTTTTTTAAAGAAACTTATAATTTTTGAAAATATGGACTTTTTTTCTTTCGAATTATTTGAAATATCATTAACTTCGTTTTCATTATTTAGTATAGATGCACTGTTTAGTTCATTTACATTTTCTAAAGTGCTTGGATCTTTATCATTTTTTGAAAGTAGATTTTCTAAACAACAATTTAATAAAATTAATGAAGTTGGTTTTTTAGTAGGATTTTCATCTATCTTTTTTAAATTACTATTTTTACTGTCAATAGGAAAATTATCTATTTTTTTATTTTCATCTTCTAATGTTTGTGAATTTTCATCCGAGTTTAATGAATCTAATTTTTTAATATATTTTTCTCCATTCTCATTTGAGTCATTATGTGTATTGTTGGTTAAAATTTTTGAGTTAGTATCTTCTCCATATAAAATGTTCACGTTTAAAAGTAAAATATAAATTAAAAAAAAAATATTATTTTTATAAAGCATTTTATTTATAACAGTTAATTTACAATAAAAACATTGTTACATAAAAAATATATTCTGAAAGGAAAAGAAAATTCATAAATTTTCTTTGCTAAATTGTTATTTATAGAAAAATGTATTTATATCAAATGGAAAAAGAATAATATTTAAATTATATAAAGTGGTGACAACAAAAATGTTTATAGATAAAATAAAATTTCAGAATCAGAAATATTAAAAAAAATTGTATGTTCTGTAGAATCGTATGAAAATAATAGTGTATTTTTCAAAATTTTCACTTAGAGTAAAAAAAAAAAAAATGTAGAGATGCTATATATAAAAAGGATAAAAAAATAGTAATAAATAAAATAAAAGTGAAATAATTAAAAACTAATAGGCATATATTTACGTAATCTTCTAATTAATTCTTTATTAAACCTTATAAGCCTTATTAATATGAAAGATTTTTTTTTGATAAGAAAATTTAAAAAAAAGGAATAAAACATTAGAATACCCTAAAAATATAAAACAAATGAAAATGTGAAAAAAAAAAAAAAAAAAGGAATAAATTTTTATCAAGTAAATGTAAATAAGAAATATTTACATCAATATTTAACAAGATCTTAAAACAGATAACAATATATATAGATTATTAAAAAGTTTATGTAAAAACATGTTTAATTAAATATAAATTTATACATTTATTTAATGTTTGTTTTGGGATTTATAATTCCTTTTTTTCACTAAAAAACCCTATAATAAAATTAAAAATATTTTAATTAGTTATTACCAAGTCCTAACACTTTTATACGAAAAAATAAAACTAAAAATTACAAAAAATTTATTATTGCATGCAATTTCATTTAAAAAAAAAAGGGTGTAGTTAATACTGCATTTCCATGTAAAAAAAAAAAAAAAAAATTTATATTAATGTAAAAAATATGTAAAATAATTATCTAAAAAATTCCAAAAAAAAAGCTCTTTTATTATTAGTTTAGAAGTTCTCCTTTTTACTTTTAAGAACATATAGGTATAAAATATTTCATATTAGAATATTTAGTTATAATGGTTTATGTAGATTTTTAAAGATTATTCTTACCATATTCTAAAATTAATAATCAATATAATGCTAAAGCATTTATTGAATGTATTTGTTTTATTATACAAATATAAAAATGAGATTTTTCTCCTTTGAAAATGTATAAAATGCAAGTTTCAATATTATTTTAGTACTTTATGAAATAAAATATACAAAAGAAAAAAAAAAAATTTTAAAAGGAGAACTTAATTTTTTTTTTGAGCTTAAATTATAATTCCTTCTGTTAAATGAAAGACCAATACATTTTCACTTATAGAAAATGTAAAAATACGGATGGGAGGAAGTAGAATAAACAATGGAATTTTTTATTAGGCTTTTTCTTTTATTTTTTTTTTTTTCTTAAATATATTTTGAAGATTACTGAGAATATTTTAAGTATCAATATTATCTTTTTTCTGCAAAAGATTTTAAATTTTTGTTATTTCACTTTATTTTTCCAATTTTAAATTAATTATTTGTAAGGTTTAAATTATTCTTAATTTGTTAAAAAGAAGAATAATATATATTTTTCAAAATAAAATAATTAATTTATTATTGTTTATTTAACACAAAAAAGTATTAATGATAATTTACCTAAGGCACAAAAAAAAAAAAAAAAAAAAAATTAAA